GGCCTGCCGGCACGGCCATCCCTCCCTCCCGTCGGTCCGGGCGTTGCTGAAGGGCCGGGCGCACCCGCTTGGCCCCCCCAGGGGGTCTGGTTGGGCCGCCCCGAGCCAGCGCCGGCCTCGCCTCGTGTGCTCTCTGTGCGTGGTTCTGGCTCGTTTTCTCAGGAGGTGCTGCTGAGCCCCAGAGCCTCGTGTCCTGCAGGCGCCTGTGCTGTCGGGTGCCTGGAACAGCACATGGAAGCAGGCAGGGAGTGGGAAGCCGTGCGGATTCTGCGGGGGGATGCTCTCCTTCACTTGGCTCCTGTGTGATGTGCTCTAGGTGACCCTGCTCTGGCAGGGGGGGTTGGACTAGATGATCTTTCGAGGTCCCTTCCAGCCCCTAAGATTCTATGATTCTATGAAAGCTAAGTCTGATAGGGTAGCCTAGGAATCCTGTGCTGTTTGCAATTTGAAGGAAGAGGCAGTTACTCTCAGATTACTCCTCAGGTAGGAATCTGTAGTAAGTTACACTAATAAATCCCGGGTGCAGGGAAATGAGCTGGATATATTGAATCAGCAGCCTGCCGCTTTCAAAAGGGACATCTTGAAGCTCATTCCCTTCTGCCGTGTTAGGCCATTGGCTGAGCCTATACAGTGAGACCATTCAGTTCTCCAAGTCAACAAGGTATTTTCTTTTTGTGCAGTAGTTTTCTCCTGGCTTCACAAGACTGCTGGTTCCCTGAGAAGCAGGTGAAGGTCATGTATCATAATGGCACCAAGTTGTTAAATAGGTCCACCTGTCAAGTTGGTACCACTACATGTGGCACAGTGAATAAGGAAGATGGGCTTTCTTAACAGGATGCTCAGCAGTGCAGTTAAGGTACACTTTTGTGAAATAATAGACGATGTAATGTTTTTCATCTGTGAAAAGTGGAGCTTCTTCTTTCCTCTCTTCACCTGCACTGGTGTCCTCTCGCATCTGCTGGATCTGTTGCTCATCAGATTTTTCCACCAGCTGATTAAACTGTTGAAAAACTTAGTAAAAGGAGGTCAGGAAGAGGTAGTTTTCTGCCTTTTAGCAATGTAAGTTGGTGCACAAGAAGGTCTAAGGAGCGCCAGAGCTGGCATGGGAGGGGGCAGAAACATTGTCTTCTGAGAGGAGCAAATATCCTTGTGGTAGCAATAAGGGATGATGCGAGTTTCATTCTTACTTTCCACTTCCCTTAAGATCCTACCTACAGCTTGCTTTCAATAAGGATGCTCTAGAAGATTCTTCTCAACAAGAAACTGCATGAATTAAAGCTAGCCTGGTATCTTCTTGAGTAGTTTCTTCTTTTCTTTATTGTTTACACCCACTATCTATATACACTAGATGGCTACACCCTGATGAACTAAAGCTTTTCTCAACCTAATGCTTTCATAAATATTTGTCTTCTTTCTGGAATTCCTCAAAGTCAGACAACTCCATTCACATAATCTATCATGATGAGAAGTGTGGTGTTCCAGGCCTCATTGAATACAGAATGTGAAAAACAATTACTGCCTTCTTCCTGTCAGAAACTTAACAAGGAATCCTGTGGCTAAGCCCACTATACTTAAGTGTAATCATGAGTTTCAGCCTTGATATTTGTGAGAAATGCTTTTACTTTTTTTCTTTTAAAAAAACCCCAAAGCCTCACAACTCCATTATGTGAGGACCAGTGCTGAGATGTCTCAAAAATAACAGATATTATGGTATACCTTCAAACCAGAGTGTAAATTGTATGAGTTTCATATGTCGTTGATTAAAATGTTCCAGTGGCTTTACACTGTAATTAAGTCAATTTAACATCTTTGCCACCATGTGGGGAAGGCTCACTCTTCTACATCCCTAGCCATGCTTTCTTCTCTCTGCTTTGCCTAGGCTCTAGTCTGGTAGCATAAATTATTGAGTTCTTGAACTTTTCCTCTTTGCTGTCCCTCTGAAATAGCCTACTTTTTTGACATGTTAGTTTTTTACTTTAATCAACTTGATTCACCTTGCTACATGAATAAGCAACTGTCAAAATTAGCACAAAATGGTATGGGTTGTGGCTGAAGGCTGGAAGAGGAAAAAAGTCTTCTTATGGTAGGAAGGGTATAACTTGACTTAAGCTCTAGCAGGAAACTGTACCTTCACTATTCTAGCCACTAAGTTTGATGTTCCATAAATAATGCGCTCTATTTTTTTCTACAGTTCCAGCTGAAAATACTTTGTTAATGCTAATGTGTATTTGAAGTGCTTCTGAATATTTCATCTGTTCATAGACGTGCACATAGGTAGCCCGTTAATTTACTGACATATTATTATTATGTCAAGGTTACTTTTTGAAGATGATTGAGAATTACATCCTAAGCCTGCATTTTTCAATTTCTGCCTTGTATGGTAAGACATTGTGGCCTTACTGTTTGGTGCCATGTATTTTTTACTTTTGAAATTATTATAGAATCTTGGAATGGTTTGGATTGGAAAGGACCTTGCAGATCATCTAGTTCCAGCCCCCCTGCGTGGGCACCTCCCACTAGGTCAGGCTGCTCAGAGCCCCATCCAACCTGGCCTGGAACACTTCTGGGGAGAGGGCAACCACAACTTCCCTGGGCAGCCTGTTCCAGTCTCTCACCACCCTCACAGTAAAGAATCTCTTCCTAACATCTAAACTAAATTTCCCCTCTTCCATTACCCCTTGTCCTCTGGCTACAAGCCCTTGTAAAAGTTCCTCCCCAGCTTTCCTGCAGACCCCTTCTAGTAGTAGAAGGGTATGAGGTCTCCCCAGAGCCTTTCTCTCCACACTGAACAAGCCCGGCTCTCTCAGCCTGTCTTCATAGGAGAGGTGCTCCAGCCCTCTGATCACATTTGTGGCCCTCCTCTGGACTCGCTCCAAGCTTCACAAATTATGTGAAAATGTCCTAATTTCAGCCAGGCCCTTCAGCCCCTGTGTGCAACTGCAACACAACATTTCATTTTTAGTGAAGAAAAAACCCTTTGATGCTTGTGGCCTCCTGGTTTCAGTTTGTGGAATGTCAACCAGGAGGTAGGGTTTGAGCGAAAATAGATTGTTCTTTCCTCCTCTAATACTTCAGGGCAGGTCTTGCAATAAAAATAAATGAATTCTCTTCAAGATGTAGTGCAGGAGGAAGGCTGAGCAGCAGTGTTCTGAAGTCTCCAGGAAGTGGAATTCAGTAAGCTTTTGATAAAAGGCCAGAAAACTTTGGGTTTGCAACTTACTTGGGATAAAGGCAGTTCTGGATAATAGGGATGTTACACAGATCATCCAGTCAGTACAGAGAAAGGCAAAAAAAAGCAGACTTGAAAATGGAAGATCTTGTGCTATTTTCTGGAAAGAATGAGTAGTGTCAGAGGTTACATTTTGCAGACAATTTACATTTTCTTGATGGCATGTTTTCCCGCTGTGGTTCTGAAGTTTGTGCCTTCCCTCTGTGTACTTGGGAAGATTCAGAATCACTTTTCTCAGCTTACGCTCATCATCTTCTGAAAGACAGAATGTTAAGCCTTATTAGAGTGAGAGAATATAAAACTAGGATCTGGTGTTTGCAAGTGACTGCTGGAGTAGAATATGGTAAGCGTTGGCTCCTGGAAGCCTGTTGTACTTGCCACATCTACAGGTGAGGGAATCTCCTATAATTTTATTTTGTTTTTTTCCTGAATAAACTGTATAAGTGGTATAATCAAGTATTTTTTTTTCCTTTTAAAAAAATGTTTTGGCAGAAGGCTGCAAAAACTTTTCCCAAACAAATCAGAAAAACCTGGTCTCAGAGATTTAGTGAGACAGAGCACTAATGATTCAATTTGGATATGGAGAAAAACAGGATCACCTTTCCAAGTGTTAAAAGAGTATGTCTGATAGACTTGGGTTTCCAGCCAATCCTGCAGGTTTTCTTCAGAAAGAGACCCAGGGTGTTATAAAGGGTTTGTATACCCAAATAAGACTGAAGAGCAGTATACTTAGTTTTTCAAGGTCCTTCTTTTAAAATGTTTATCTTGTCAAATATATGAAAAGTGAGACTTCATTAATTTTTTTTAGTTAAAATTACTAGTGGACTTAATATAAACCTCAAAATTTTATGTTAAAACAAGGTGATGTTCATTTGCAGTATTGTGTAACAATTCAGGTTGATTCACTGGCTGACTTCCATATTCATAACCTGTTGTTCTAGTTTCTTCTGCATTGTAGCTTCTTGGTGTCACATTTCATAGAATCATAGGGGTTGGAAGGGACCTCTGAAGATCATTGAATCCAACCCTTTTGCTGCAGCAGGAACACCTAGGGCAGATCACACAGGAACGCATCCAGATGGGTCTTCAAAGTCTCCAGAGAAGGAGACTCCACAACCTCTTTGGGCAGCCTGTTCCAGTGCTTTGTCACCCTCACAGTAAAAAGTTTTTCTTCATGTTGAAGTGGAACTTCCTGTGTTGTACCTTGGTGCTATTTCCCCTTGTTCTGTCACAGGGCACCACTGAATAGAGACTGGTCCATTCTTGACACCCATCCTTCAGATATTTATAGACATTAATAAGGTCCCCTCTTAGTCTTCTTTTCTCAAGACTAAACAGCCTCAGGTCTCTCAGCCTTTTCTTGTATGACAGATGTTCCAGTCCCTTAATCATCCTTGTTGCCCTTTGTTGGACTCTTTCCAGCATGTCCCTGTCCCTCTTGAACTGGGGAGCCCAGAACTGGACACAATACTCCAGATATGGTCTCACTAAGGCGGAGTAGAGGGGGAGGAGAACCTCCCTTGACCTTCTGGGTCTTTTGTCTCAGCTTTAGTTAGGAAAAGCAGGAAGAAAAACAGATCCAATGTCCTTAGCACAATTCCTGTTCACAAAAGAATACTAGAAATTTTTGTACTTGGAGAAGAAGAGTGCAGTTGCTTTTATGCTGCATCAGGAAGGCCTGACTGGTGGAGTTTTTTCCTTAGTTGAATTTCTGGCTTCTCTATGGTCTTTAGTTCCATCACACTGAATGTTTTTTTTGCCATCACTTTCTCCGCTCTCTGGATTTATTTTCTGACATCTCTGGTTATGTTCAAGGCCTACGACACATTCATTTTACTCAACTTGAGGTATGATCTCATTTTGGAGACTGAACCCTAAGTTTCTTCACCCAACAGATCTGCTTGTATTGTGTAACTGTAGGCCTTTCTTCCCAGTGTTGTCTCTTACAGCCATATCAATATTTTTTCTTTTTTTAGAGCAATTTAAAAAAGCAACAACAACTGAGTGTTTAGGGTTTCTATCCTATTGTGGTAACATAGAACTACTTTCCTCCTATACCTGTAGTACTGAATTGTATTCATGTGATTACCCAGAATAATTCACTAACAGCTGTTTCTTTTAATAAAGCCGGTGTTTACATTTTTCAGTTTTTCTTTGGGGTGTTTCTGAATATCATCCTGTCCAATGTGCTGCATCATTGGTACTGTAGATGCTTACTAGTGGTGTATCTTAGCCATTGTTCTTTTTTCCCTGACAGTGTCTCTTGATGTTCATACATTACTAAGGTCAGCACAGACATTATTATGAAACAGAGACACGTCCATTAAAACCTTGTTAAGAGGCGTTACCATATTTCTTTGCACATGTAATTAATTCAGGCTTGACCTGCTTCAATGGAAGGTGAAATCACTTCTCAAGAATGCAATGATTAAAGTCCCCTGCTTTTGAATTTTAACCTGATATTCTCGTGGCACTGTATTACAACTTTTGTGCAGGATCATTGTATTTCTTGCATAGTGAAAGGCAGTAATCGCAGCTCATGTGTGTAGCCCAGTGTTCTTTGTGGGCCAGATGTCAGCTTCTCCTAGAGAAACAATTTGTTTAACCCTGGCCTGGTGAGTTTTGGCAGTGGTATATGCTCCTTCTTATGCCATTGTTCTGTATTACATAGCTTGCATGAGAACATGATTATCAAGAATGATGTTGTAAAATATGTCCTTCATCCAACCAGGCAGATGATGTTCAAGCCCTTGCTTGTGATCAGTTTGGTATTTGTTTGGGTTCAACGTATCACAAAAACTGGTGTTTGCTGAACATGCTCTTTTTTAGAGCTAAGTTCTTTGTGTTCAGCATTGTTGATGTCCATGTAGCAAAGCTTGGCATGGGTGTTCTTTTTTTTTCAATATTTCTTGATGCTGATACTAGTCAGTTGGTTGTCTTACCCAAAGGCTGTCTTCTAGAGGATTTTGAATTTAATCCATGTTAATCAACTTTTTGAAGTGAAGACTAATGGTAAAGAATGGTTTGTGGTGTTTTCAGAATGCTTGTATTTTCATATATCCATGCCTTGAAAAAAAATAACCAAACCAGTATGATATTAAAGATGCCCACTATTACCTGAGTACATATAAGATTTGGACATCACAAAAACTCCAGTAGAGGATAAGGAATAATAATGTGAAATAATAATAATTGTTTAAAAACTTCTGGTTCTAGTAGATTAAAAAATACATTCTAGTGATTGACACTAAAAATTACTACTGAATCTCTATCACTGAGAATCAAAGGAAAAGTATATACTCCTAGAGGTGGTTTTAGCTGTTGGTGTCTTGTAGGTCTCAGTTTTAAGGTGTTTGTTGGCATAACTCTGAAAATTGTACCTTAAACCTGTTTTGAAAGTGGTTGTAGAAATCTGCAACTGTCTTACCAGTAAGATTCTTGCAGAGGAAATGTTTTCCATCAGCTCTCAGATGAGGTAGCCAACATAGGTGCTTATTTAAAAACAGTTTTCTCCATTTTTTGTTACCACTGATGTTCTGAATGTCACTGCGCTCACTTAAAGCTGAGTCGCTAAAGTTTTTTTCAAGGAATTCTGAGGGAGTGGTGTATTGGTGAGGAGAGAGGGACTTGCTTTTTGTCTCTGAGATCAGCACTTAAAAACCCTTTGACTTTTAAAACTAGACATTTAAAATCCCTTTTGGGGTGCTAGGTTTTATTAAAAATTGATCTTTACATTAACGTTATACTGTGCTTAAATCTGAATAAGATTTAATGAATTTGAATGAATGAAGACTTCTGGCAAACTTCTGCATTGACATTATTTTATAGTATCACTGTGTTGCTGACAGATTCAGTCAAAAGCCAGGTTTATCTTTAAGTGACTGAAAGATTGTAAAAATACCCACCCAATGACATTGATTTTCAAGGACAATTTACTGTGATGGTATTCAGATTGGGTCTGACTTAGATATAAAAAAATACTGCATGGTAACTCATGATGAGGCATCCTTTATTGCTAATGTTTTTACCTTTAACACAAAGCTCTCTAAAATTGTCCTTTGTGTGAGATAAATCATTAGGTATTTGTCATGCAAAATAAAGCTAACTGACTCTAGAAGTACTTGTTTCATGGCTCATTCATGCTGTGATAAACATATTTCAATTTAATTTCCTTGAAGGGAAGCTGGACCTGGACATCCAGGCACTGTGTTCTGTAAGGTATTCCCAGCCTGCACATCAGCAGTCAATGTCTGTTCAGTTCATTTAAGTTTGCACACTGTGAATATCATCTGGCCCCAAGTTACAGGAAAAGCTCAAGAAGGGAACTTTTAAAATAAAGGAATGAAGTTGTTTTTTTCTTTTAACCAAAAGGCAGAAAAGACAGGACAATCTTAATTTACTGTTAAGCATCACAGTCCACAGCCTAATCACATTGCACTGGCTGTAACCCTTGAGAGTAAGGTACCCCCACAATTGCAGAAGAAGTTGGGGGCTGGAGAGAAATAAAACTTTGATGGTTAATGTTATTTGAAATTTTTTGAGAGGGCAGTGTTTCTTATACCAAAAAAAAAAATAAAAATATCCAAGCAGGCTACTTCGATAAATCATCACAGGTTTTTCAGTAGTCTTAGCTGATGGGAGTGGATCATGAGCTGCCTGTGAATCATGGTTACCTGTAGAGTTTGTTGATTCCAGGGGGATGCCATAGTGTGAGGAATGTAGAATTCTGTAATAGTGTTTGTCAAAAAGAGTTTTACAGGTTTTATGATAACCATGAAGAAAATAACCATGAAGAAGGTAGGATACCTATCCAGAACCTTCTGCTGTCATTCTCCTCATTCCTTTATTTGAGACTTGAATGCTGGGGAGGTACATATGTAGTGTGTGAAACATCTAATGGAAGTGAAAATTGAGATTGGGAGTTTTGCTTTTTATGATACTGGTTCACAGGTAAAAGTTGCTTAGCAAAGATGAACAAGCAGATATTAAGGTTTGGGGTTCTCTTTAGTTGAAGGAATTCCTTTATTTAGAAATGGTTATTCATATACTAAAATAGCATAGAAGTGTCCTATTGAAAGGACTAATTAGAGTTATATTTGAAGTTAATTTGAAGTACAGTACAACTGAATGGGCATTTCAGTGGCAAATATAAGACTTCATGCTTATCTTTTGTACATGAAAATCCAAGTGCATTATGAATGGAGGGAAAATTTGTTATTGCATACAGATGTATAGACTTGAAAGTCTGGACTGAAGATCCACAAAACCACCCTGTGAAATGACAGTAAGCCTTTGTTCTGTGCCTTATGGAATTGCTTCCCTTTTTCTCAACAGTGGACAAAACTGGCTGCTTCAGAAGAGTCATTGTAGTTAGTTGTCTGCTGGGGTTTGATTTTGGCTATGTCTGTAGCAGAGGAATTCCTTGCATAATATGATCCTGTGTGATCCTGTGTATGTCACAGAAGCATGTAATTGTCATGTCTGTTTGTTCCAGTTGATGTTGAGGTGGAAAAAAGAGTGAAAATACAGTGTTTCTTTTGAAATTATTTTCTTGTCACAGATAGCATGGTAAGTCATACATAAATGAAATATATTACATGGAATACTTTTTTGTATATAAGCACAGCATCTCCCTGTTCACTAAGTCTTGATTTTAACTTCATTTAATGTGCTTTATTAGCAGCGAGTTTCTATGGCCTGCATGTGAGACGCTTTAAATGAAATTTGTTCAATATCTTTTATCAATGATCTGATGAGGGGATTGAGAGCACCCTCAGTAAGTCTACAGATGACACCAAGTTGGGTGAAAGTGTTGATCTGCCTGAAGGTAAGAAGGCTTTACAGAGGGACCTGTACAGGCTGGATCAGTGGGCCGACGCCAATTATATGGCATTCAACAAGGCCAAGTGCCGGGTCCTGCATTGGGGTCAGAACAGCTCCAGGCAACGCTGCAGGCTTGGGGAAGAGTCGCTGGAGAGCTGCTCAGCAGAAAAGGACCATTGGGTGCTGACTGACAGCAGGCTGAGTATGAGCCAGCAGTGTGCCCAGGTGGCCAACAGCATCCTGGCTTTTATCAGGAATAGTATGGCCAGCAGAAGTAGGGAAGAGATCATGCCCCTGTACTCGGCACTGGTGAGACTGCACCTCAAGTATTGCGTTCAGTTCTGGGCCCCTCACTACAGGAAGGACATTGAGGTGCTGTGCATAGAAGAGCAACAAAGGTCGTGAAGGGTCTGGAGAACAAATCATATGAGGAGCGGCTGAGGGAACTGGGGTTGTTTTAGTCTGGAGTAAAGGAGGCTGAGGGGAGACCTCATTGCTCTTTGCAGCTACCTGAAAGGAGGTGGGTGTTGGCCTCTTCTCCCAAGTAAGTAGTGACAGGAACAGAATAAATGGCCTAAAGTTGTGCCAGGGGAGGTTCAGATTGGATATTAGTAAGAATTTATTTACCAAAAAGAGTGGTCAGGCACTGGAACAGGCTGCCCAGGGAGATAATCAAGAAATGTGTAAATGTGGCACTTCAGGGCATGCTCTAGTGGCTGAAGTAGTGGGGTTTATGTGTGGGGTTTTGTTTTGTTGGGGGGATTTTGGGTTTTTTGTGTGTGTTGATTGTTGGACTTGGTCATCTCAGAAGTTCTTTCCAACCATGATGATTTTGTGAAGGATCTGTCCTCTGGAAAGCCCTATTTGCACATCTAAGATCGAGGCTGAAGCAGTTGGTGATGTAGGAGTTGGTAGTGCTAAGAGTTTTTATACTGCAGTTTACTAAGGTCTATTTATGAGGAAGTAAGGAACACATATCTGTTCTCATTGTGCAACTGAGAGCTTATGCTTTGCTTGTATTAGCAAGCTGTCCTCGTATAATATCTCTACCTTATGGTGTCCGAGTAGTAGCAGCAGGCAAGTGACATCAACTGATGCCATAAGACTGCTTCACTCTTGAGCTGTTTTAGGACTTTTCTTATTTTGGTCTTCTTCTACTTCTCCCAAGCTACAAGTCTCAGTTGCTGATGAACCTGACTACTGGAGCTCAGCTTCAAGACAGCTTTCTTACTCGAGCTGAGTTGTCTATGACTGTATAGAAATTAAATCTGCCGTACGTTATGGTATCCATTTCCTGTGTGCTTTTTCAAAGTTTTCCATCATTTCCGAATTCTACTTCTGTACCATCTATGAAGAGAGAACAGGGCTTGGAAAAGAGAAATGGAAAACAAGCCATCCTTTTCTTAGTTCTAAGTGAGATAAATCACCTGTCTTTTTTTTTTTTTCATTGCAGTATACATGAAGCTCAAGATCTGAACCTGCTATGACTGACCCAGACGTCCTCACTGAGGTCCCAGCAGCTCTCAAACGCCTTGCCAAATACGTGGTGCGTGGCTTTTATGGCATTGAACATGCTTTGGCTCTGGACATTCTCATCAGGAACCCCTGTGTGAAGGAAGAAGACATGTTAGAACTCCTTAAGTTTGATAGGAAGCAGTTGCGGGCAGTTCTCAACACCCTCAAGGGTGACAAGTTCATCAAATGCAGGATGAGGGTAGAGACAGCTCCAGATGGCAAAACCACTCGTCATAACTACTACTTCATCAACTACCGCCTTCTGGTTAATGTGGTGAAGTACAAGCTGGACCACATGAGGCGAAGGATTGAGACCGATGAAAGAGACTCCACCAATCGCGCCTCTTTTAAATGCCCCATTTGCTTCAGCACTTTCACAGACTTGGAGGCCAACCAGCTGTTTGACCCCATGACAGGTAAGAGTAGAGGTAACAGAATACTCTGGTTCTGTCCTTTGTAATTGCTAGACTATAAGGAAACAGTCTTGGGAAAATTTTCTTGAGTTTGGCTGGAGCTAGAGGGCAGTCTGTTTCTGCAGGTGATAAATGTTTGAGCAAAATACAAAAAATAATGTATACAGACTTACACAGTCTTTACAGGCAAATAGCCACGTTGGTAAAGTGCTTGAGTGTCGAGCAGTAGAGAAATGGAGGTCATGTTGCAGTCATATTCAAGGATGAATAAGGCAGTCTGTCCTTGTTGGAAGCTGACAAATTTCAATATAACCTGGTCTTGCCTGTAAACTTGTATGACTTACTGGTAGTTTGCAGAATGGGCATATATACAGTTGATTTTGGTTTGCAAAATTTTTTAGTTTAGAGATAGTCATGCAGGAAGTGAACTGTCACTGTTTAATTTTCTTGTAGCCAGTTCTTTCTGCTGCACAACCTTGTTTCCCCAGTGTAAAGCAGTCTTATGAAAGTTAAAATAAATGAATTACAGGCTTGTCTGTGGTTGGGAGTAAACAATATTATTTTTCAAATTGTGTCTTAGTCTCAGTGGAGGTGTGTATCTGTCTCATGCATATGAAATGAGAAACTTTTCTGGATGTCATTGTCTTGCAGGGGCAGTCCAAATACTTTGTGCTTGTGTGCCAGGGGAAATAAGAAACAATACCTGCACCTGATGAGATCCTGTTTTGCTAGTCTAGTCTGGAATTATTTGGGGAAGAAGGCATGGAAGAGGGGTTGGGCCTTAGGCTTTCGCTTCATGAAATAGTTTCTTTCCTTTTTAATTTTTCTTTTGAATTCTTTGTCCTGATCTTACTTTTCCACAAAAATAAAAAGGGCAAAAGTCAGGAGAGCACTCAGAAACAGTGGTTTGTGGGGTTTTGTGTAAATTATCATAATGAGAAACAGTTAAAATTCATAGTTTAGTGGTATTGAAGCTTTTCATCTAGGACTGCTGATGTCTCGTCTGCTTTGGAGAAGGGCAGACCCAGCAAATGTTCAGCCTCATTTTCCCTCCTTCCTGCCTTCAAAGATTAAGAGCTGTGAAACTCCTTTTCTTTGAACAACCATGAAACTGATATTCACTACTAGAGAAGCAGAATCCACTAAGTCACGTAACAGTTGTTGCTGTAATCCAGCACAGCTCTCTAAGTAGAAGTTACTCTCTTGTGGAGCAACAAAACCAGCAATGCCAGCACAGATTTTCTGTACTCACCACTGAGTGCAGAAACAACACGTGCTTTCTACAGTAATGATCATCTGTGGCAGCTACAGTCGTGGGTGTCAGGCTGAAGGGGAACCGTGCTTTTGCAGTTTGCTTCAGTAATGACAGTGTAGAGAACCTGTGCAGAGAAATAAAACATAGTGGGCAATGTGAGTTACTCATCCCAAGGAGACCTGTAACACCTGGAATGTGAGTCCTCCTGGCCTGTGTGGGTGGAGAGTTCCAAGAACAAATAATTGGATGTTGAGGAGATGCAGAAGACAATAATGCTGGGATTCAGCTTTGACAGCAAGGCCTGTGCTCCAGGAACTGATGAGGTCAACCAAGAATTTGTCTGCAGTACAGGGACTAGCTGTCTTCTCAGTGCAACATCATTCACTGGCATGTGGAATGTTTTGCAGTTTTGCTGATGGAAGGAAAGATTGAGTACTGTTTTCCCAGCAATTCCCAACAGCTGGTTTCTGTCACTATTAATGCAAATAACAAGATAGCTAGTTTATCTTCACTTACTTTCAATAAGAACATACCTGTCTAGAATTCTTGTATATTCTGTTTGTCCTTATATGACTTTTAAGTCAATGTTAGCTTCATCTAGATAGTGCATGATTATACTATTGTTTCTCAAGAGCTTTTACATGAAATACAAGTTTAGAGAGGGCTTTCCAGTTACTGTATCGGAAGATTTCCTGCTGTCTCCAAAGGATGAGATAGCTACTTTTTTCGATGAGAGGTAAATAAGTGGGTGATACTTTTTTTTTCCTTTTTTTTTTTTTTTTTTTTTTGCAAGAATGGTAACCTTATGTTGCAGTGGATTGTGTTGTCTGCATATGTTTCCTGCTCCTCTACAATTCTGTATTAGAAAAGAACTGAGACACCTTTGGATCTCTCACAAACGGAGCTTGTGAGGACAAGGCATGCGGAGGAACAAGGTTTATCAGACAGTGAATAGCATCCTTTTCCAAGGGTGTCTCTAGCCCTTATCAGCCTTGTGCAGAAACCTCTCCCACTCATTGAAACTCATGGCAGTGCAACTGCTGAAGGGTAGCTGAAAGCCACATGAATTTCAGTCACAGCTGACCTAAGCTGATCCTGGACTGCAGCCATGTTGATAAAATTTATGAACTAAAAGGCCTGCAGGGCCAAAGTCTGTTAGTCCATGGGACAAGCAGAGCATGGAAGGCATTCTCTGCACTAGTCTAGACCAACCTGCACTTTAATTGGCGGTCTGCTGTTAAAAGACATCCTGTTTCACTGTCTGCTTTTTGTCCTTGTCAGGCAGATGGTTTAGATGTTCTGTGTTTGTTCTGCTTTGCTTTCCTCTTCCCTAGTTAGAATCAAATGCAAACTGATCAATTGTTGTAGAATGAAAGGGTTAGAAAAGAGGTTATTGCTCTTTTCCTTCCTTAACAGTCATAGTGAGGAGGTTTCCAGAATCTCCCCATGATTGTAGTCATTCTGTTGCCATTTGTGAATGAACAGTGCTTATGAAGATCCTATCTGTAAGTTGAATCCATAGTGTGCTTTAATTTTTACCACAGCATCTGTCTGCCTCTTGGCTTTAGCAGAGGTCTGTTTCTTACAGGTTACCATGTGTCAAATGGAGGCTTTTTTAACTCTGTGCTTTAATCCATTTGTGAATAATTTTGAAGTAAACAAATAAATAATATCACACTTGCTCCTCTGTGGCAGTGTTTACTGTTGTCTCCAAAGAAGCAGTATCAGTGAGTTCTGCTTTTCGAGGGAGCTTTTTACATACTGAGCAGGCAGTTCTTCCCCACTTTTGTGAGTGTTTTGAGATCTACAGAAAGAACAAAACCAGTGCTGTATGAATGAAAAGTGGTTTACTTCTAGCCTTGTGTTTGAAATGGGATGACTGAGAAAGGAAAAAAGATTGTCATTATCCTGGAAGATTCTAATATAAGCACTGGAAATATAGATGACTACCTTTCACTTGTGCCATCATTTGCTGTCTAACTGTGCCCTGATAGTTCATCATTCTGTGTTCTGCATGCTAGCAATTGCATGCAGCTGCTCTGGTCATGAAGCCTCACACGGGTGAGAAGCTGCAGCCATTCCCTTAAACAAGGCAAGGGCTATCTCTTAAGGCAGGGATGTACAAGAAAGAGTTTAATTGTGTAGCAGTAAGAAAAGCCAAATGTTAAAGGTGTACTGTTTGTGACACTGCTGAACTCTGTGTATTCCCAGACCTGGGCTGACAGTGGACACTGGCATAAAGGTACACTGGGTTTTCAAGTGTTTGACCTAGAGGTAGGATGTTACTTCATCAAGCTCTTACACAGGCCTGTGGGAAGAGTTTCCTTCTCGGTGCTTTTAAATGTAGGAACTACAGAAATTTGCTTTCTGTAGGCGACTTCCTGAAATTGGAGAGTAATCGAAACAATTCAATACCAGCTTGTGGCTTAGAGTAAAAAAAAAAACCAAACCATGCAACTTTTGGAGAATTAAATATGCAGAAGTCACTTTTGTGGAGTGTGGGGGGAAGGACAGGAGGAGCTGCATTATCTCACCCAGCAGAGGGAGCTGCCTTCTCTGCTCTATACATACGGGCTCTGGATTGATTCATTTATTGAATGTCACAAAACTGGAAATTATGTTCATGGATCTGTGTTCTGTAGCATGATTAATTGGATGGTGTATTTGTAAATCTAGTGTAGTGTTGGAGTTGACTGTGAAATTCAAGGTCGATTTGAAAGAAAGTATGTGACTAGAAACCACAAAAAGCAGAGTGGGGTGGAAGTGAAGGAGTGACAAAACCAAGATCCTGCAGTGCATCACACTGTTATTCAGTCCTAGATTTCCTTAGGTATTCTAAATACCAAACTGTATCAGGATACTCATCAGCCTAGCAGATGAATTTGATGTTATAAAGAAAATAAAAGGCTAGACAAAGCAGTTTTCCCCTCTGTTCTCTTCTACCTTTGCAATATAATTTTTGTCCAGTCTTGCATTTCTTTCACTTCTGTTACTGTGAATAAAAACCTTGATGTTAACAGTATATTGTAATTACAGTTGGTCTCTCTTATATATGTCTATACTGTCTTCACCATAACATTCAGTTAGATAAGACATGAATAATAGTGGAAAGAAAAAGATGGAAGATAAGTGGGTAATGTGATTCAGGAAGACGATGCTGTTGGGATGTTCTTAATTGCAGTTGTAATCACTGGAGTCTTTTGTTGTTGGAAATCATAGCAGCTCATTACTTGTCTCTTCTTTGCCCTCCCACCATTTGCTTTTGTTTTGGTGAATGATTTGTGGATATAGTTGTCTTAGTCTTCCTGAAGATGTGCTCTAATACTAGCATACTGTGTATCTGGATCCCTTTCTTACTCTGTGTGCAGATATGAAATTTAATTTGGGAAGAACAGATTGAAGGTGGCAATATCATTTTTGAAGAAGGGAAGACAACACCTTGAATTTCATTTTAACGCCACTGTTTTACTGTCAGTCTCTCACATGTCATTTGTGTACTTCATAACAGAATTGCACATAACGCATTCAAAGGCTGGTTTTCTGTACCTGTGACAAGGCACCTTGTATCACACTTAGGCAACCTGTGTGCAACTGAGCTTTTGTATGGTTCAGGCCCTGCTACTGAGATCAGAAATGTGAGTAGCCTTTGATTTTTTTGCCTTGGTCTTAGGTGTTGCTCAGCTTCTTACTTCATCCCCAATGAGCTATTCAGATCACGTCTGTCTTTTCTTCTTGTTTCAACTTTTTA